CCCTTGAAAAAAGAAACACACACGGGCCACACAAAGAAACCGGACGACGCTCTTCCCGTGCCTGGCCTTCCAGTCCGTAACCCAAACTGGTCGCCACTACTTCAACATACTGTCACGCGCTCGACCCCCGACACAACCGAACGAAGCGCTGCTGCTGCTGCTGCTGCTGAGCGGACGCTCTAAGCAGCACCACCCTCCTCCTCTCCCGGGTGGACGCACCCTTTCAGTCCCCTGGTTCCGCTAGCCTCCTTGACAAAGTGCGGCAGAAAGTCGATGTCGTAGTCCGGTTCCGTGGGAAGCATCACGCGGGTGCCCAGGATGTTGAGCACCATGTGTTGCCGGCTAGGGGCGGGCTGCGACCAGCCTCTCACCTCCGCCTGAGCGAGCGGTTTGCGCAAATGGGCGGGGCGCCCTCGTTACGGCGTTTGAGGCACGAAAACAGGACCTTTGGACTTGCGAAGTGCAGGTGGGACATATGTATGCCAGCCGATGCACAATGTGCGAAAAACGAGAGGAAAAACAACGTGTTTTGCCTCGCGCCGATGCAGTTAGTTGTTCACACCGTATGTTTCTAAAACAACAACAACGAACAACAACGACAACGATAACGACCAACAACGGCGACGAAAACATCAACATCCACACGAACGGCTTTCCCGACGCCGGCAAACGACCGCCCGTATCTCCTGTCGAGTGGCAATCGAGCTTTGAAAAATCGGTAGTCCAGGGGTGTGTGGTATCTTACATCCTCTGCTGAGTTGAAATCGAGCTTTGAAAAGTCGGTGGTCCATCTCACGTAATGTAACCGACGACGGTTTGCATCAAGCGAACTACACACCCCTGAGAAGCGCCGAGAAGGACGCAGAGCACATTCCCCATCTGGTATTCCATCATGGACTGCTGGCTCATTTCGCCGGGAGCCCGTCTGACCGATACACCTCGAAAAAAACATGGCCAGATCAGATGCATACCTCCTCGCAGGCGACTTCCCAGCAGCGGTCGACGAGGGCCTTAAAGGTTGGGGTCTCGTTGATGTTGATCGCCGGCAGGCGGTGGCAGTGGTCCGGAAGGCTGCTCCATTTCCAATCCCTAGGAACCACCACCTGCAGCCTGCACTCGTTACCGTAGACGTCCCCGCTTACGGGGTGCGCCTGCCGCGCGGTTTCGGGTACCCACAGTATTGTTGTTGGTTTTGTGTGGCAAACCGCGGTTTTTCGAAAAAGGGGGGGGTGTACTCATAGTCGTGCATGCCGTAGTCGTTAAACCATTGACCTCGCATCCCTACAAAGCCGGGACGGAGCACGCCGGGTTCTCACCGGACCAGGCTCTCACATCACCAAGCGCGAAGCGCCGTGAGATATTCGGCGAGTCGCATGAAGGGTGCGCTGCATCCTGCTAAGGGTGTTCGGCATCTTGTGCTTACTTCCTTGCGTACGGATGACAGCTGCGAATGACTTCATATATATTTTCTGGTGCTTTCACTTCCTGAGACAGTTACAAGCACTGTAAATTGCCTCGAGGGTGCTTGACCATATTAACACAACTTGGTGCGATCATCCCCCTTGCGCGGAGTGAGGGTTC